GATTCAGCAATCAAAGGGAGATAGTTTTGAGCCAAATGTACGTTTTGCTCATGCGCAGGTTTTCCATGCATTAGGATCTGTGAATATATGTGATAAATACATTCAGGCGAGTTTGACGTGTCCTCAGTAGCGTTTGAAAATAAATTTGAAGAGGATTAGTATACTCTGGGGTGCTTAAGCCACTTTGTTGATGATGTTTGTTTATACAAGCTGAAACTTTATGACGAAGTATTCAAATTTTATTTTAAAGCTACCTGGAAATTAAAAATCCGATTTGAAATTTTTCTGAATGATTACCAATTTATTATTTTAGAATGTTTAACTAAAACATACATATATCTCCATTTTTCACTGAGTAAATTTTTTTTATAAAAGTATAGCTCATTATTATAACAAAAACTATATGAATCCAAATTCCATACTTTCTGAAAAAATTTAAGAAAAAATCAAGAAAGTATTCGTCTGATTATCTCGTAGTTTATTTTTGTATAGATTTCTACAGGGCGCACACATGTGCTTCTTTTAAGAAGTTTTACTTCTATCACGTGTACGCTGCATTAAAGTAATGCTTTTTTCTCAAGTAGTTTTGCTCAGTGGCAATTTATACATATGTATGTAAGTAGTAGCGGCAACATTGGGTAAACTAAATGCATTCATACATACATATTTATGAACAACTGTAGGTAATATTTTACGCGTCTTCCCAGGTAGGTTAAGTGCGGGTGATAAACCCATGTACCATAGTTAAATACTATGTACATAACTACAATTAAAATGGGGAAAAATGCAACAATTTCGGCATATGACTGAAAAAAATTTTAAATACACACAAATTGGGCGTCAAATCCTTTTCTTTCCTTTCTTCCTCTGTAAATGATGATTTCTTACGACGGTACAGAATGAAAGCATTGGTAGTAGCCATATCCAGTAGATGATAAAAGATACGCGTCATAGTATCCATAGTTTTCATACGCAACCCGTTTCTGCCCATGTACGAATTCATTAGATCTACACCGCCCATGTGAGAGTTGTACCCACGAATTCCTTGGGGGCAATCTATCTCAATGTATTCTCTCTTTCTTTCTGTTGTATCGATGCGCTTTCGATGGCTGGTTGGTAGAATTTGCTTTTGCAAATGGTTGAACACCTACATAACTTGAGCATAGCCGAACTCAACTGCGAACCCTCTATCTGCCTTTTTCAGCTCCGCATCTGAATCGGATGGTAGCTTACAGTTCGATATTCTGTTTACTCGAATGGTACCTAACGAGAATATACCACGAGCTCGCAAATAAACCAGAAGTGGCTGTGATGAGTAGAAATTGTCAAAGTATAGAATGTGGTTGACGAAATCAGGTATTGTTTGCGATAGCCGGATGACGACATTGCTAGTTGCTCCAAGATCTGATGTTCCTGGTAGAACAGTGTTATCACCAGCACCATTATACACCTCAAACCGGTATGAGTATCCATTGCTATCACACAAAACAAACAACTTAATACCCCATTTATTGGGTTTGTTTGGCATATATTGCCGTAGATGGTGCACTGCCTTCGTTTTACACATCTGTTCATCAACACATAACCGAGCTTGTTTAAGAATGGAATCGAAGCGTTCGTTCAAAGTATCAATAACTTTCCTTATTCTAAACAGTGGATCATATCCGGGCTCACACTTTTTGATACGGTTACTCTCATCAGCAAACGACAAATGCCTCTTTATTGCCACAAACTTCTTCCAAGGCAAAGCGTCTGGTACATGTCTAAATCCAAACTCACTTCAGTGTGCCTCTATGTCAGGATATCGAAAAATATACATAAACATCAGAACGCCGAGATATCTTCGAATCTGCGCGTATTAGTGGTGAATCGCGTATTTATGTCTGCTGAACGCGCTGCTCGATTGGTTTCCTCAACAATCACAGTGATGTGTTGATCGGTAAAAAAAATTGTTAAAAAACTCCAACGGTGTCTCAAGTTTTCTCACGGCATATGTTAACTCAGAGTCTCCACAGAACGCTATTTCCTTTACATGCATTTTCATACACCTTTGACGCCATAAGATGTTTGAGACTGAGTTCTCATTTTCTGAAAAAAAACTGTAGCACAACAATTAATAACATTTTACAATTTATAAAGTAAAAAAGAGCAAATCAACACAACACCTTAGTGTTACGCTATTCAATTGTGCAACAAAGCTCTCTCGCTTATGCTTGTATTGCGCGACTGGTGTATCAATATCTTGCCGCTGGTGTCCACCTTGACACTGCTTTCCATACTGGAAAGCGCACGCAGATTCTACAGCAACGCAGATATAACTTGCCAAATGAGTGCCTGCCATGTGGGCGGGTTAAACTTTGCCGCAGTGACTATGCAAATCTGTGGGCAACGCAAGGCTTAACAATTAAAAAATCCGTAAATACCATCTGAAAACACTGGAATGCGGTACGTATCACCGGCTCGCTGAAATGATGAAATATATAAACAGATTTCTTTGAAAATGATACCAAACAGGACACGCAATTTTACCCATGGTGTTTATTTACACTCCGATGTGGCTCAGGCAGAGCAGCGAGTATTATACCAACAGAATTGATGTAGTAGTGTATCTCTTTTTGTAAATAACCCTTCACAATACCATTCCCCACAATACTTGCTACGATTGAGGGCGCGATTGGCAAACTGAGTAGCTAAACGCATGTAACATACAAGGCATGTGCTGGCGCATTGGGGAATTCATTGAAGAAACAGGCGGTGCTGAAAGTGCGCGTTTGTTTAANTTGGCACATTGGGGAATTCATTGAAGAAACAGGCGGTGCTGAAAGTGCGCGTTTGTTTAAATTTTTTAATTGAATGCAAAAAGTACGTACTTACATACATATATGCCACTGCACTGACATTCTCCGTTTCCCAAATCATTTTGGAAAGTAAACAAAGGAAAAGTGTACTTGTGCTAGACCACATAAAATGATGGTCGTAGTCATTTGACATCGTCCAGTTACGATATTCTTCTTCAACTGCCTTTTAAGCAACTGCTTTTTCTCCATAGGATGACTATTTTGCACGAAAAATGCATTTAAAGCAGGTGGAAAGCAAGCTAGCAAGGGAAATGCTCACGAATATGGCTTATTTTGCATTATAATACTAAGTAGAGCATGTGGGAAGAAAGAGCGAGACTTAACATTTTTTTAAAGGTACTTTAAAAAGTAAAACCTCACCGAGTCTAGTCATGTGCAAAGAAAATCCCAACGTTAGTATCAACACACGATTCAGATTATCACTTTCGCTCGATGCCACAGAAACAGGTAATTTTTCGCTGAAATAACGAGACATTTGGGGTTGCATTACTAAGCCCAGTGATTAGCCGGCTTTCACCACAAATTCAATTGCGAAACGGTCGCACAGTGTAAAGTAGCTGACCGCGATGCTGGGCTGGTTGTGATGTAAACGATATAGGAACATTTCACGCAGTATATGTAGTATTGATGCTTGAAAACAGCGAGCACCAATTGCTAAATGAAACAATTGTAAAAAATTTGTTTGTTTTAGGGCTGTGCGATTATTCGATTACTCGAGCAAGTGGGTTAATCAGTTGTTCGGTTAATCAATTACTCCAGTAATCAATATTTTAATTGGATAGATAATGATTAATATGTTATAAATTAAGATAGATCAATTAATCGCACAGCTCTAGTTAGCTTCTTCCGAATAGCTTACGCAAGAATCCTTTTAATGCCCACCGGTTCGATTTAGGTGTGAACGAGTAATCGTACATAGCTACTAAAGCCGGCGCAAGTATGGAACTTTTTGACTGAGGCTGTAAAAACAAATAAAATTAATTTAGCTGCTTGGTTCCAAACAAAAAATTTGACCTGCATTACCTGTGGATTAGCGACATTTTACTGTGCACAGTTAAACTATCCAAAACAGCCATAAAGAACGGCGGTTGCCCCACAGCTGCAGTTTTATCGTTGCCATTTAACGCCTCGCTAAGTATATTCATTGATTGTGGAAAGTACTACACATTGATTTGTTAAAAATGCATTACATATATGTATAATGCGTAAATTGTTGCCCATGCTTATGGACATCATTGTTTTGTGAAGAGCAAGATGCTGAAGAAAGCTGTTGACAAATAAAGGAGTTAGTTGACGTGCACTGAACAAGTCTAGAAAATTATTGTAGTCGTTCATTATAAATGCAAAATAAAGTAAAATAAAACATTGTTTTTTATACTTAAATGAAGTTCATATAATTTGCTGTAATAGCACTTACTTGCGTCCCTCGGCTGATGGCTGGCCTACCATCGAGATGATCGTTGATGGCATATATATTTAGTAAAATGAATTTAAAAAAAAATTTGGTATAATTCGTTGTTGGACACGTTTTCCTATTGAAGAAGGTGCTTCGGAATTGTTATCAGTGCTTAGTGTTTCGGGATCATAAACAACCCTATCGTCGAAATCGGTTGTTTGATCGCACAAACGAAGATTATGTAATGTTGCGCACGCGTTGACTACTCGGCCAGCAAAACCGGGGTCATACAAAAGAACTCTTTGCTGTGATAAGCACCGCCATGTACCTTTAAGGACGCCAAAGAGTCTCTCGATCGGGTTACGCGCTTTACATAGTGCCTCGTTGTACCGAAACTTTGGCGTTCCTTCTGGCTCGTTAGGTAGAGGTGTCATCAGCTTACCAATCAAAAATGTGTTGTGGTTTCCATTTTCAAACGACCGCTGCATAACCCGACGCGCTGCAGAGAAGCTCCAAGTAAATGAATCATGCCGTGCTCCCGGAAATTTTGCATTTACGTTTAAAATTCTAAGATTTGGGTCACATATCTATAAGTTTTAATAATCATAAAATAACAATATAAATGTACCAGATTTGTTCTTACCATTTGCACGTTGATCGAATGGTACCCATGGTGATTGACATAATTTGATTCGTTATTTTTGGGAGCCAAAATAGAGACATGAGTGCAGTCGATTGCACCGATAGTTCCTGCTACAAATGGTGAAGGTGCAGACGCAAAAATTTCCTTTGCCGCTTGGCACTCCAGTTGCGTCATAGGGAACTTCACTTTAGTGGTAAACATTGAATTGTTGATCGCGTCAGTCACACGGTGTATGCAACGGCTTATCGATGTTTGGCTCATGGAAATGCTCCACTGTTCGCCTACTGGGCGTTGATAGCATCCAGTGGCATAAAACCTTAGAGCCGCTAGAACCTTTGACGAGTACATAAACACATGCTTATATAAGATGCTTTCTAGCGGTAGTACGAATAAAACGTTTTACAGGAAAAGCTGTTCCACGTCCCATAAGGTTTATTAAAGGTAAAAACAGATATTTCAGTAAACCCTGCAGTTCGTACTACCACTGGAACGCAGCTAAAATATTCAATAAAGTTGAGGAATATTGGTTTACCTGCTTTTCGGTCGATAGCGCTGNGACGAGTACATAAACACATGCTTATATAAGATGCTTTCTAGCGGTAGTACGAATAAAACGTTTTACAGGAAAAGCTGTTCCACGTCCCATAAGGTTTATTAAAGGTAAAAACAGATATTTCAGTAAACCCTGCAGTTCGTAC